GTGTGTGTGTGTGTGTGTGTGTATGGCATGAAATCTGATTGGATGACTTTGAGTCATTTACTTTCTCTCAGTCCAACTGACCTTGCAGAATGAGTATTATTGCGAAAATAGGTGGGAGCATTATGGGTATCACCTTGAATTGTGCAAAATAAAGGTGGGATATAAATGTAATCTAAATGGAAAAAATGTAAAGTGGATGGATAATAATAACTAAAAAGAAAAAAAACAGATGCTAATTTTTAAAGCAGTTTCCAGAAGGATGCTGCTTATATAATCAGCTAAGATAGATGGATGAATGGGTAGTTCAGGAACAAAAAACACCAGTGAATCTTAGCAGAGCAGCTGGAGCCAATTTTTCTCTCTACTATAATTAGGTGGGTACATGAAAACTTCAGAGAAAACAATTTGATCAGCTTTAATTTGAAAGAAAATGTTATTAAGGTGTCTTTTTAAACTGCAATTGAAATATATGGTTCTTCATGTATTCTAAAGCTATGCGGAAAATTAAAAAGTCAGTTTTAATCGCCTCTGAACCATTTGTGTTATAAAGCCCTATTTTTTTCTCTGTGGAAAAACTACACATTCTTTTCCACATTAAAGGTCTGCCAGAGTGTCTTTTTCTATTCTTGAAAGAAAAAGAAATTTCAACTTAAGAAAAAATGTTTCAGTTGATGTTTTTGCTTATCCTTTTCAACTTAATGGGAACTCCTTTGGGGGGAAGGAATGAAATAAGCAGTTAATCAAATGTCTTAATATACCTGATTGTTCACTAAATGATCAGATATGATGCTGTTTTTAGAGTTGACTGAAAGGGGCACAAAGATTCTTTTTATTTTAAAAAAGAGCACTCTCTCACATACATTTGATAGAAGCCAAAAAATACAGTGCAATTAATGAAGAAATAAAAAAGCCTGTCTAATGTTCCACAGACATATAATTGCCTTTAGCTAATTATAATAGTCTGTTAATATTCCTTTCTGCTTTTTGTATGTTTACATATATTTGTAAAAAGATTGTTACATTCCTAGTAACAATGTATCCAAATGGAAATTAATTTTTTCTACCCTGCTTCTGGAGCTTCTGATCAGCTGAATAAGTCAAGCATGGATCAATATTATTGAATGGAATGAAGGAACTACTTCATTTACATATTTATTCTATGAAAGATTAGTTACTTTAAAAGACTTATCTAATAGCAAGGGCTCATTTATTACTGGCAGAAGGCAATATACATTCCTTGGAGATGACCAGAAAGAGCCT